GACTTTTCTTAATATATTTGTATTGAAATCAGCTTAAAGTTCCTATCAATCACTACATGTATGTCTATTTAATTATTTACAATAAAGTTAGGAGATGAGCTTTCCATTGTGTACAAAAAAAAATCGATTTACAATTATCAGAGGAGAGTTCAGATTTTTAAAGGTGTAAAGGAATATGTTTTGCAAGATTGCAAACTATGCTCTCGCCGTCGTTACTCGAACAAGCTTAATTCTCTTGGACCTATTTCTCTACCCAGTCCAAACATATAGCAACAAGCACTGGTTATAATTCTCTTCCTCACGAACTTCCTGACTAAGACTTAAATGCTTTAGTCATTTGGATCGAAAATACTTTGTAGAAATCCGTGAATATGTTAATCACAGCCATTAAGAATTAGGTGGGCTTACAAACTTATCTACAACAGTCTAGATTTGATAATCATCAATAATAGGGCAAGACTTTATGGATTTCTGAAACTTCTTTCTGGATGCTCTAAGCATCTTGATGAAAGTATGAAATTTTAGTACAGGCTGGGGATTACTGATTATGTAGTGCGCTAACATGCACAGACTACCAATCAAGTCACGTACTAATATATATCGCAATTCTTTAGCGAAAATTATGAGAAATAAATATCCGGTGAGCGCTGCTGCCGAAACGTTTGGCATGAATCACTCTTTGTGTTGAATTCTTTTTTCATTAAAAATAAGTTATGAACAAATAAATTTTACTACATATAAAATACTTTTCTCTTCTATCTTCAATATAATCTGAAGTTACCAAGACAAAATGAGTACGCATCGTAGCGCATTAGGTATAGAAAATTTGTGAAAATTATGATCGGTGAATCCAATCAAGGTCAGGGTTTATCAAGGTTAAGCTAAGTTGCTTTTCGTAAAAGAGGTAAAAACAGCCGCATAATCCGAGCGAAGAGTAACTTATCTTCCAAATGCTCTGTGACCTTTGCTATTTAAGTTTTGCTTTAGCTGCCTCTTACATTCCCTCCCCGAATGTCCAAATACAGACCTTTTCACCACTATACTTACTAACGCTAGAATCATCTTATTCCATAGACGAGTGTCCATATAAATTCCGCTAAATTCACCTTGTACTCGACAATGATACACTCCAAATGGGTTTCGTCATCAACATTTTCATCTCATCGTGATGTTGCATGCATTGCCGCACTAGAAAAACTGGATGCCGAACATCATTAACATACAATAAGCATTTATTTTAAGATATTTAAACATATACATACAGACAATGCATATTGAATTGAAAGATAAGCTTGATTAATACCGAAAGTTTAAGAGAATTTAAGTGTATTTAGTAAAATCACGATTAGTATTTTGTTTATTGATAGTATCTGCAGATCTATCATCGATATCAGCAGTAGCAGTAGCACCTTGATGTTGATTTTGACTTTCAATTAGCTAAAAAATAAATAAAAAAAAAAAAAAACATTAAGGGAATTAAAAAAGCCAACAACACTCACCTTTGTACGCAGGCGTTTAATTATACGCAATCTTTCCAGCCAATTGGACGCATATGGATTTTTCTTTTGCAAACTCTGGTACACAAGAGATGCCAACTGTGCAATGGAAAATGATTTTTAATAAAATTTCAAGAAAACATTCTTAAAGTAACATATCTACTGACATTAGCATGTAAAGCCAATTGTCTGGCCAATAAAGGTGCGCTACGATCAGAAACTATTTTCGGCTCAGGGTGGCAAACAAATTTTGCAATTTCCGGTCGTGCCTTTACATAGATACGATTAGTATTCAATTCCAAAGGTTCGACAATCACGCAAGCAAAGTTAAATTGTCCCTTTAAAGAATTTTTAATATATTTTGTAATTTTTTTTTTAAATATTCTTACATTAGAAACCTACTGATATGGTATTCAGGTTATATTCCTCGCCGCTTTCATTATAAACAATGTTAACGTAATCGTTGCCAATGTGTTTCTTCTTTTCATTGCAATTAGGATCGCTGCTCAATTTAGTGGGCATGAGGGTAGCAACATGAAATGTCACCTAAGCAACGAGAATTTGATAAATATTTTTAAAATTTTATTTTTGTAACAAATGATGATTACCTGTACGATATCATCTTTCCATACATAGGTGAAATTACCATCTGCACCGCCAGTATCCAAGGTAACGAACAAATTGTTTTGTGCCGCTTCTTTTAAATTTACCAAAGTACCAATGCTGCGTAAGAATTCTACGTAACGAATACTGCCATGGGAATTACGCAAAATTTCTACAACATTATTGCATTGACCCTGACCAACGTAAAGAACGCCGATTTTATGAGTCTCAAATGGTGGAGCCAAATCCAATAGATTGACAGCACTCATTTGCTCAGATGGGACTTTAATGGGCGCGTCAGTAGTTTGCAGTTGCCCAGTATGGTAGAGTTGTAAGAATACAAAGCTAGGATTCATGCACAGCTTTGCATTCAGTTGCGGCTTTGATGAATTGAAGACGCGGAATGTGGCGGTGGGCGGGCGAGTTTTGCCATTGTTTACTTCACGTACTACAGAAATGGTCTTCGACCGACCACGCATGATATCGCCTCCGACATTGCCACTGCCATAGTCGGCATTATTGATATTGCTAGCTGCGTTACCAGTTATACCCATTGCATTACCGCCGCTGGTCGACTTGGTCAAACCCTGATGGGAGCCAAAGGATGTCGACTTAGCAGCGGTATGTATTTTTTCCAAACGTGGCGAATGTTGTGGCGCCGGAGAAAGCGGTGGTTTACTTGTAATTTTCTCTTCACTAGTTTTGAGCGATGAAGCTGAAATGGACTGTTGCACGACCCCTAAGCCTGCACTTAAATTTTCCGTCACGTCGTCAGCTGACAGCTGTTTAGGTGGCAAGCTACTCATGTCTGGAGCTTTAAGACTAACTTCAGTTGATTGTTGCTGTTGCGGCGGAGTTGAACCTGCTATTTCTTCAGGTATGGCTTCGCAGCTTACTTTACTGTATTGCACACTTTTCTTTTTTTGTTGTACCTGATGTGAATCTCGTTGCTGCAATTCGATTTCTGTAGTATATTCCATGTTTGTTTCATGATGATGCAAGGGAGCCGGTTTATTGCTCAAAAAGTTATTTCGCCAGCTAGAACTCATCTCGGGACTGGAGTTTACTCGTCTTACTGGCTTACGTGCTCGACTCTGGTCACCATCGAAAACCATCGTGTCCTCATCCGCTTCACCGTCACTAACACTGCCCGACAAAGCCTCCTTTCCTCTCTTACTCGTTGTACATTTTGGTATATCAATGGCGGCAGTACCGGCAGTCACCGACGCCACAGCTAGAGTTGATGAAGAGATCTCTTCTTGCCTCTGCAAAGCCCTTACTTTTGACACAGCTTTGCGACGATCTTCCAAAGTTTTATTGCTCGCATTTCCAGATATCTTATCTAATCGCGAAATATCGCCTATGTATAAAGTTTCCTTGACAACTTCTGATATTGTCTCGTTAGTTTCCACATTGTGATCCTGTGAAAAAAAATCCGGTCCAAACACCCCTCCATACGAGGTAGGTAGAAAGAGTGACACCATATTGATGAAAGGTATTTCTTGACCAAAACAATCACTAGAAATGGGATTTTGTATGCGAGTTATCCAAGAAATGTTCCCAGTCGGACGTCGTACCAATATCTCAGCCCAAGCCGAGCAAGATCGCACGCATATGGGAGAAGCGCAAACACTTGAAGAGGACAATGAATTGCCTGGTAAAGATGCGCAACTACCTCCACCAGCACCTCCAGCTGTGCTGCCCACACCCAATTCTGCACTACCAGCTTCAGGATTTGATCCTCTTCTTGACAATGCTTCTAATGACGCATTTGAACTATTTGATGTTTGTCTTTGCGTAGTATGGGATGCAGATGATGAAGACGTTGATGTCAAATCAGTGCTTCCGGCTGATTCATTGCCACTACTATGTTGTAAAGATACTTTTGTATAGCGATGTTCATATGTACCTCCCGTCTCTCGCGTACTAGCTGGTTGTTGATTGTTCACCTCAGGAGAGATAGGTGTATTGACCGAGTTACTGTCGGCACTGCTCTTCGGACTTAAAGTATAAGTTTTGCCCAACTGCGCACATCGATCACATAAGCCACTATGCGTCGGGCCTGATGGACAACCAGACGTAGTAATTGTAACCAGATTATGACCTACCAACCAAGTCTGCGACTGTCCATCCTTTAGAAGATATTCGACCGCTGGTAACCTGCACGCATTAGTGCAGAAATAATATTTAAAATAAAGAAAAATTTTTTCAAGTAATCTTTAAAAAATATTTATAAATTTGGATATGATAACAATTCTACAAGGCATCTTATCCATTACGAGAGTCGTTTAGCGATGGATTTCCCAGCCAAAACATTGTTGAAGCTCCATAAATATTCATGAATTCAAAGAGCTATATATATACACATTACAAGCAATTTTTTTAATTGTATTGTATTACTCGGTCGATCGATAATCACATATAACTTCTCTAAGCCCGCTAATTGTTTTTGGCAAATTTCAGGCGAAGCATTTCTATAACTCGTTACTAAATATAATTAATAACAATTATCAAAGATAAAATGTTGGAATTCTTCATTTTTTCCGAGAAGGTTATATGGCTTTTCGCCGTTGCGAGCCTATTGCAAATTAAATAATCAAATATTCTATTTCACAAAAAGTGCGGAGAGTAAGTGATTCCGTGGTAGGGGGTTCGATCACGTATGGAAAATTTAAACTACCTTTCAGCTATCTGATTACCTTCTAGCTTACTTTACTAGTAACAGCTATTTGAACGGTTGCTTACCGCTTTGGCAAAGCTGAACATGGCGAGAAGGTATGGCGAGCCAAAAAATCAATACATGTCTCGGCTAACTCAGCATGGAAACTTTTCAAGCTGGCATTCATCAAAGGGCGCATCTCGGAATCATTACGGTTAGTCGTAGCGTTTGTAGAAGAATTACGCGTCCCTCTTTCAGTTAAACTCGTACTACGTTTACGATTGGAGGAATCTTCATTCAGTGAATTGAAGTCTTGACGCTGTATATTACGGGTCAGTTTATTAATATCCTCGTATAGCATGCTAGCATTAGACTGAATGGACTAAGGAAAGACATAATTTAGATGATACATGTTTGAAAGTCGAATGCTCGAAAGTTTGAAAGTCGATGTAACATACCGAAATTATGTAAGTGACACAATTTTTCCGCAACTCCAGCTTACACTTTAAAAACCATCCAGCAATGACGTGGTGAGCCAAGGACACGGTATAATGATCATAACGGTGCGGTTTGGTGTAAGGCAAAGATATGGCGAACACATACATGTATTGCCGGGGTGTAAAATTGGTGAATAAATGATTGGACAAACGGCTTAAAACTGCAAAGAGTAGAATATAATATGAAGAATTTCGTTCATTTAATGAAATTTAAGTACTTGACAAAAACTCCAAGACTGGAATGGCTACGGTTGTGGTATCGGACATTTTACTCATTTGCAATAATATGTCGGGTAATTTGCGCATTAGGGCTTCCGGCATTTCCAAAATTATAGTAGTCATGGTGTTAATGCAGATATTCGCTATACCAGACAGGATCCCCATCTTTAAAACCTCGATGATTTTAGATTGATGCGAGTGCTGTATAAATTGGTGATATATAACCAAAGCTGCAATGGCGGGCAGCACCAACGAATTCAATTCATCTATACTGGACTTATAAGTCAGATGCAAAGTTTTATTGCTTTCGAACATAATTTTGAACAAAGCCAGAGCCAAAGATTCTACATCATTACCCTGTATTAGAGCCTTATTCTGCATAGCTTTCGGCAACTCTTTAATAACTAATTGGAAAACTTGAAAATCTTGGAAAATAAAAGAAAATACTATATCGGCACAAATGGATAACGAGATCAAGTAAATGCAAACGCACCTCTATCGTTTTCCAAACACTTGACTATAATTTTGCATGCCCTCCTAATCGATATCGTAGTAAAATGAGCATTTGGCACAATATCGTATGAACTTAATTGTGACATCACTTGGGTCCGCTGATGATGATGTGACATGCCATGCAAGGGTAAACTAGAATCTGTAGCCAAATAATAGCTATATCGGATTAAATCATTGTTGCTAGGATCAGGAAATCCAATGTGATACGAGGCGTTCGCTCGAGCCTTTAGCATCCAACTAAAAATCTTTCAAAAGAAATCAATTCAAGTCCTGTTTTAATTTACGGTTATCAATGCATTTTCCTACCTTATAACGTACGATATTAATATGCTCAAATACTTTCGGATTCTCGTAATGCAATTCCAAATGACCCACGAGTATATTAAATATTTTAATGGCATGACAGGTGGGCAGGCGATAGAGTTTCACTAGGAAAACTTCTATTAAACCATCTACAGCGGCGACAACATCTTGTATTTCAGCTTCGGTTTTTAATTCTCCATACTGGGGACTCTGTTCAAATGGATGATTTATCATTTTCTCTAAAATATCTAAGAGTTCGCCACATCTTTTCGTATCGCAATGGCGTGCGAAATCAATTAAAGCCTTCGCCACCGCTGTACGCAATTGAACATCTGTTTCTAAGCACACTTGTCCAAATAGTGGTATCACAACACGTTCCAAAATCTCCTCCTCATAGCACGAACGATTCAAATCCATAATATTGGCCAAAGCCTGTATAACTTTTATACGTATACTGGTGCTGCACATTTTGTAAAATCGCTGAGTGAACGCATTTAACAATCGCAACCATTCCGGCCGGGTAGCTGTAATTTTCGATGAACGATAATCGATTAAATTTACCACCGAATGCTCGGGACGATCTTCGGCCACGCGCTCAATCAAATCATATATACGTTCATAATTTGCTAGAATTTTCGTTTTCTCATCTTGCAATAATTTTTCGATACAATTGATGTTCTCGTGAAAATGGTTTTTCAAATGCGTTAAACCATTTATTGTGCTCGTATAACTTTCTGCAAATTGTTTCGTAATTTATTACCACTGTAGGATAATAAAGACACACACACACACACACACACACACACACACACACACACACACACACACACACACACGAAAATCTACTTACCATAATATTTAATGTTATCCACTATCGTTGACATTATATCACATATACGATCCCATATAATTTCGGGCAGTTCAGCCTTATATTTATTGATGACAATATGTATACCAAGGATTACCTCGTAAGTAACGCTAACGTGACGACTATCAAGAGCCTACAATTGTACACCAGCATACATATATGATAAGTGAATTTTTCAAATGATAAGGTATTTCATCAATTTCGAGAATTTTCTAATCATATTATTCTGAATAACTTATGATAGAAGTTGTTTAGAAAAGTTCTATTTGACTATTTTTCCAGCTCTTCTTCACAATCTTTTCAGCTTCCTTGTACGCAACGCTTGGTAAGCTCGTTAATAATTACGGACGTCAATCAATCAATCAATCAGCTAAGAGCGTTTTCTCACCCTACCTTTATAGATATTTTCACTAATGTCGCTTTGGAGCATTTATTTATTTTTTTTTTTTATTTTTATACCCACCAGTGTAAGCGATATACTTATAACGTACGTAACACCCATCATAACACCCAAAAGGAAGCTTGAGACACCCTAGCGTGAAATTCTGTGTCTGAGTCATGCCTGTCCGTCTGTGTGTCTGTGTGGTGTCTATTTTTGATACTCTCCTGGTACCAAAAATGAAAATAGCGACTTCAAATTTGGTAAAAACATTGGAAGTTTTTGTAAGCAAGTTGATATGAAAATGGGCCAAACTGGCCAGAGCAGAAATCCGCAGTAAAGCGTAAACTGAACGCAACTCAGTTTTTCTTAACAAAAATTTATAGGTTTTTTGCCCGCTTAAACGTAAAAGTTAGAAGACTAAAATTTTCCGCATTTACTTTGCGAAACACTCTACTCTTTACGGGCAAAAATGGAATAAATCGGCCACGCCTATACAAAGTGACAAATGATTAAATTTTCTTTTTTTTAGTTTCTTGACGCAACAAGACAGAATATTTAAAACTATTTTTCTACACTCCTCAAATGAAGATATATTATCTGCCTAAAAATGGGTTTATTCTAAAATGAATATGCTAGACACCGCGATTACTTGTTTCTTCAAGATACCAGCAATGTGGGTATCAAATAAAAGGTCTTGGAGAGTAGAATGCGAAAAGCGTAGTGGTGGGAAATGCGTGATTCGAACCCCGTCAAATATTTCTTAATTTCTTATTTGTTTTTATTATTATTTATTTATTTTTTTATTTTACTTAGCCCTTAGGTATATATCGCCTATTTAAGGTACTCCAGATTTGAATAATGCGTGTATTACGTTTACGCATTTTTCGGATTTTTCCATTAAATATTAAAATATTATTCTCTGTTTTTATTTCTATTGTCGTTCCATTGTAGACTTTTGGTCCTTTGTAAAATAATACATTTTGGAAGACGAGATTACGATTGAGTTTGAAAGTCTAGCCTCTTCAAAATGCGAAATGTAGCGAAAATACTTTTCAAAGAATATGAGATAATTCGAATTTCTCTTTTAGGATTCGAGAAAAAATTTTGAACGATGTAAAAAAAAAAAACGGGTTTGAATTTGTTTGCAGGTTTTCTTTCCAGATACATAATGTATCAAGATTGAGTTTTTATCTTTTTGAGAGTGGAGGTCTCCAAAAACCCACTGTGAAAGACCAGAGAAGCACAGCAAACTCGCTCACAGACTTACATTCACAAAATACGTACCCTTTAGGAAATTTGCGATCCGCTACTTTGAATGCAACTAAGCCGAAATGTGAAAGCCGAAAATCGTCACGTATGGACAGACACATTTTATCTTTGGTATCTATAGTTAACCACCTCTAATACCTATGGATCTATATTGTTGCATTGGCACTTTGCACCGCTAAACTCGCGATGATCAAGAATTCCAAGATGTCCAAGCATGAACATAAAATCTCTGAAGCTAAACTTAGTTATAATGCAGCTAATTCAACGGTTAGGGTACGGGGAATATCATACATACCACGTTCTGAATACTCTGTTGAACTCTCAATCTTCTCCCATCGATCATCATCTTGCAATGATTTTTGAAATATTCACTTTTGAAAACTTTCTAAATGGTGGGCGGCCCTATATGATGTAATAAATTCCTTTTCTTTTCGAAAAATGATCTCAATAGGTAATATACTATTATTTAAAAATGCTATCTTATTCTGTCCTATTAGTGTTGCTTCAAAATCTTCCCAAGTTGTGCAATCCGACTGACTTTATTTTTTATTTTACCATTTGAACGGGCTTTTCGATGCCGCAATGAATTTGTTTAAACGTCAACGAATTGACTTAATAAAAAAACTTACCCTCAAAAAACTGTTTAACACGGTCGAAGCGTAAAATAGTGGCGAGACCTGGAAAACCATATGAGCGCTAAATATGTTCATATTTAAATGAAAAACAGCACCACGCAAAAGATAATCGTCCTCGTAAAGCGTACGATCATTTAATATATTGCACATCATTTTCATGGAATGATAGCCCAACTCAGTGCCGAGAAGATTTTTCATTATCTATGAAGAGACAACAAACAAAATTGAGATTCATATAAATCAACAATTGACTCTAGCTATAGAAGACAAAGCTTTAAGCTTTCTTTATTAAAAAGCTTAAAGTAGCGAGCATAGATTAACACCCTTCAGCGTTCGAGCGTTAAAATATCGTATTATTATTATTATTATATTCATTATTATTTACTACAGCGGTCTGCATGGGCAAATTAAGAGTCAATTGAGAACAAAGAAATTTGAGTATTGACTTACATCCAATTTAATCGTCTATGAGTCATGACCGATCGACAACGCATTTTATGTGTGGGAATGTGTGTTCTAGATATTATTCACATTTGTGAAAAATATCCATCGGAAGATACCGATAAACGTAGTCTAAGTGGGCATTGGCAGCGTGGCGGTAACGCCTCCAACGTTTGCACAGTCCTGCGACAATTGGGGGCCGAATGCGAGTTCTTGGGCATGTTAAGCACAGCGGCGGCATTTAAATTTCTCCAGCAAGACTGCACTGAGCGTAATATACACATCGAGAATTGCCCTATGTGCGAAGAAAACCCTCCATTTTCAACAGTTATCTTAGCGACCAACACGGGTACGCGTACTATAATTCACAGTAATCGAGGATTTCCAATATTGAAGTTTCAGCATTTTCAAAATTTAAAACTGAACAATTATAAATGGATACATTTCGAAGGTAGAAATGTTACGGAAACTTCTCAGATGATTTGGGAAATAAGAAAATATAGAAAACAGGCAAAAGACAGAGGTGAGGAGTCTATTACGGTGTCTGTAGAATTGGAAAGACTCGATATGGATTTACTTGCGCTCGCTCGAATAGCCGATATCGTAATTCTCAGCAAAGATATGAGTGAGTTTTTAGGTTGGTCTACCCGTTACGAAGCAGTGTATGGTATGCGTCAATCACTCCAAGATTTACAAGACGCAGCAAAAGAGATAGATGAGAAAATTGAAACAATACCGAGTATTGTGTGTCCTTGGGGTTCTGAGGGCTGTGCTTATTTAAGCAGTGATAGCTCCTACGGCAGTTTCCTGGCTATACCCGCAACTACGGTAGTAGACAGTTTAGGTGCTGGTGACACGTTTGCGGCAGGTTTCATATTTGCTCAATGTATTCTAAATATGGATATTAAAATGTCTGTAGACTATGCCAATCAGGTGGCCGGTTTTAAAATATTACATAGAGGATACGATATGATAAAAAAGTTTCAATATCGAAAAACCTAAAAGTTAAGATAGAAAGCAACAAAGAAACACTAACTAACTGATTAAACAAATTATTTCCGTGACACCGTCCAACATTCGATTGATGCCGATTCGGAAGCCTATACGTCGCCGAAAGCTGCACGAAGATCATTGGAGAAAATATTGATTTGATTTTTAATTTTTTTGTTTTCTTTTTTGTTTTTATTATGTTAGCAATGTATTAAAGTATTTCATTGCAACACTTCATGTATGGCTAGCAAAATCTATTCAGTTACAATTAAGACAAATATCTACTAAAAACTGTCATAAAATTCTCTGTGTTCTTAATTTAAAACAAAAAAAAAAATAAATTAATAAATAAAAAAAGAAAAAAATCGAAAAAATAAAGCCAATCTCTTACGAAGAGACGCTGCAATAATGACGCAACCGAAACGCGTGCTTTGTGTGGGTATGTGTGTATTAAATGTCGTTCACATATGCCAAGAATATCCTCTTAAAGATGGAAGGACCCGCTTATCTGAAGGCTATTGGCAACGTAGTGGTAACGCGTCAAACAATTGCACGGTTTTACGAATCCTGGGCAGTGAATGTGAATTCTTTGGCATTCTTAGCCGGGCGCCCGCATTTCAATTTCTAATTGACGATTTTAAAGAGCGTGGCATTGTTATTGATAGCTGTCCCCGAGTAGATATTTATCAGCCATATTCTTCAATATTATCATGCCGTCCCACCAATACATTTACGATCATTCACACCGATATGGGTTTTCCGATATTGCGCTTTCATCACTTTAAACAATACGTTAAATTGGAAAATTATAAATGGATACACTTTGAGGGTAGAAATCCGTGGGAAACAAAGCCGATGATAAACATGATAAGACGATTTAATGAGAATCTTAAGTCCAATCGTGGCAAAGACGATGATGTGAAAGCTATAACCATATCAGTGGAACTGGCTAAGCCCACTCAGGATCTATTGCCGTTGGCAATAAGAGCTGATGTATTGTTTGTGGGACGGGAATTCGCTTTACATATAGGTTGGAAGACACCGAAGCAAACCATATTTTGTTTAAGAGAGTTGTTAACCACATTGCAATTAAGAGAGGAAAAGGATGACAATGAGTTAGATTTGTGTTTTCGGAGTCCACACATAATTTGCCCATGGGCAGATACAGGAGTAGATGTACTAACGGCAAACTACGAATATTTTCATATTCCCTCTTCACCACCTATTCATATTATTGACACACTAGGTTCGGGCGATACTTTCGTGGGTAGCATCATACATGCCTTATCACATATGAAGTATTCAGTGCAAGAGGCAGTCGAATTTGCCAATCGATTGGCTATATATAAAATGCAATATCGGGGCTTAGATTGTATAAAAGATTATTTAACACAACAAGAAGAAGAAGAGGACTAAAATTAAGAAATATCTTCCATGTATGTGTTTAAATAGTCAATCCCTTAATAAGGATTTGTAAGAGTCAATTACATATATATAGAAATTAGAGAATATGGCGGAAAAAGCAAGAGATCGTTTTTGAAAAAATTACTTAGAATAATATGCCCTCTTATTGCAGAAGGAAAATCATCCGAAACCGTTTCAACCTGTTTATTTCATAATGTATATACTTCTTACCTTCCAAGAAGATCGGCAGTAAGGTGCAATATTAACGGTGCGACATAGAGTAAACACAAATTGTGGTAAAGGATCACTCGGAAATATCGTATAACTCATCACCATTTCCAAAATAGTTAAACACTGTAAACCTATATCATCATCTGCTATAATGCAACTTAAATTACAAGCGTTTCTGAAAATAAAATTTAAATAGAATGTTTGAAGACAATCCAAGCAAGGCTAAACGGTGATAAACTTACTGAACAATTCCTACAATGATATCATTATCTAAATGGGCAGCATTAAACTTAATTAAATTAACTAACATATCTAGGTAAGGTCTCAAAAGGTTGGCCTCCAAAATAGCCGGTAACCACATAAGCATAAAACGTCCGATCTACAATAACATCCAAATCAGATTCGTGATATCTTTTTCTGTTGAAAAAACTGTGTACCTTTTCTTCTAAATTCTTTATATCTTTGCCATTTTCCGTTAGCGTATCGAGTAATTCTAGGCGATGTTTAAGATCCTCATTTACTTCATGATTTTGAATAACCAAAAAGAATTGTTCACGCATATATGTTAAGTTCTTATATTGTGTGTAAACGAGTTTCTTATAAAACGTTAAAGCTGTCTGACGACAATCCATAGATTTCGTCGGTACCAAAAGGTCTTTGGTAACATCCCACAATTTAATGATAGCCGTCTCCTCCAAATTATAAGACTGCAAATGAAGATCGCCTAAATCTTTCAAAATTTTACATCTTTGAGCAACCGGCTGTTCCGGACGGAGTTCCCATTCAATCTCTGGCCTTAATGAGCGCTCATTTGCTCCTAAATAATATTTATTATTTATCCGATGCCGCATTATAAACTATTTCGCGATTACTTACCCGCTGGATTTTTCGCGTTTTTTAAAAAGGACTTAAACTTTGATTTGGATAACTCTTTCTCTTTGGAACTCATTATTAAAATCAAAATATGCTTATTATATTTATTAAACAGAAATTCTTATAAAATCCTTTTGGAAAGTGAAAATTATTTACATAAAAAAAAAAGACAATTTTTTTGCAAATACAGCTGTTATTGACACAATCATATGAACGAGACAAATAATGTTTGATTATGCTCCTGTGTAATTTCTTCGACTATAACAATTGGGTATTGGGTATTCTAAAATGTACTTCATAGTTTTAAATACGAATCATATGCACTCAGTATAAAAGCTGGTTATTTGCTTTATACCTTATATGCCACATAACCGACATTGTTTTCAATAGTTAAAAAATATAAAATTTACATTTGGGTATGTTCTCGCCACTTTGCCTATACGTTTTTATTGTATTATTAAATTATTTATATATATATATATATATAGATATATATATAATAATCGAGTTTTTTTATCGATTTCCGTTCATCCCTTACGCTAGGGAGATACCCACTACTACTATTTCGGCCTTTCGCCCGCCATTTTTCTGAAAAGTACCTTTTTGTGTAGTATGAATGCAAGACTTGGCAACTCTTTGCGAAATAACTGAACATCCAAACAAAATTACTACAGAAAAGCAACGTTCAACATAACGGAGGTATAATAAAGCTTTTTTTCTTTAACTAAAACTCCAAAATAACGTAAAAAGTTGGATAAGAATCTAATTGATTTTGGGAGAAAAATTATAAAGGTTCAAATAAAGAATTCAGGTTGGTAGAAAAAAGTGACAATGTGCGTCGGAAACAAAACAACGAGTGGACTAAATTTCCAAGTCTTAAGCTATATAGAAAACATTTCGTTAAATTCTCTTATATGTACCTATTTGTTTTTGGCCTTTGAAGGTGCATAAGTTAATCATTTACCAAACGTTTATGTCAAAAAAAAAAAAAAAAAAAAAAATAGAAAAAAAATAAGTAAACTAGGCCTTTCGCTTTTAGTGATAAACTGTACGGCCAGTGACTGGAAAAACGAAAAAATTTGCATAGACTAATTTCTTCTAGATGATTGCTTGTCCTTTACTTTTTTCTCGTTTGTTAAAGTACATACGTAAATTTGTTACGATCAAGACGCAATGCTCAAATTGTTCAAAACTGCCGTAAAGTAAAAAAGAATTGTTTCTTCAGCAAGATTTGATTGGCAATAATAATATTATCGCTTACATTTTTTTTATTGTGCTTTTTCCTCTATTGGACAATTATAGCAAGGCTTGTTTTTGTTCAAGTTGTTAAGCTTGTGTTTGTTGAAACAAGTAAGGAAAGGAGAAAAGGCGAGCTTTCCAACTTCAGGGTTACCATGGCATAAACGTTTACGTTTGCATTACTAATTAAATCGTGTTAGCAAAAATTATAAATCAACAATTTTTACGGATCAGTGTGATAATTATACCTAATAGATAGTTTTAAGACTACATAAATATTTTTGTATAATTGCAGCTTTGTACTTTTGTCTGTGCTTTGTGCGTTTATAATTTTTATATATAGGCGGAAATGAGTTCTACTGAAGAGAGTGGTAGTCAACCTACAACACCTCAGGATGCGCCGGAAGAGCAGGTTGAGGCTATGTAGTTTTAAAATTGTAAGATTTTTATATTAATATTATTTTGCGTTTTTAGGCTAACATGCGCGAGTTGGAAAAAATAGAAGAAGAAAAATTAAAATCAAAATATCCGGTGGGATTGAGAGGCCCTGGCGGCCATACTGTATTCTTACAAAAGCGTTTACAAAAAGGCGTAAGTTACCTTTTGACGATTAAGCTTTAATAATTTATTATTATTGTATTTTCTTAGCAAAAATTTTTCGATTCTGGTGATTATCAAATGGCTAAACAAAAGGGTGGTGGCGTTAAGCATGTTTTTGCCAATAAGGTAACCACTGGAGAGGCCATACCTACTCCTGAAACAGTGCCTGCTCGCAAAACCTCAATTATACAGCCGTGTAACAAGTTTCCAACCACGAGTTAAGTTCTATTTGTTCCATTTTAAAAAACATTTCTACTTTTCCAAATTGTTGAAATTGTATTTATTGGAAAAATGAAATCCTTGTGTTTGCCATAAATTCATATACAATTGTCACCGGGTATTTTCAGCCCCGACATTGTTTTCTAATATTCACTAAATATGTGTATTTTTTTGCAAATTGTACGAATTATAAAATTTTTAACTTGTATTGTACTTTCATTAGGCTTTCATTGAAAAAAAAGGAAGCAATAAAAGCTCTTTTTAAATATCTCGTTAAGGTCTTAATAAAGGTAAGCAGACGGGCGCAGATTATATTTAGATTTCGACCTCATTTAAGGGATCCATTTGTTATATTTAGAAAATGCAGTAAAAGAATAGCAGACCTAACACCAAATTTTGATCGATGGCAGAGATATTCGTTACAACTGGAGTTTACTTGTGGATGTTTGTGTTGCGGGCTTCACCTTTACTTAACAAAAAAAAGAACAGTTATTATTCACATTACTGTTATTCAACATTATTTCTAGTTAATGATACCATTTGCATTGACAACCTGAAAGTTTATCGAGGATATACTCTTTTTTTTTTTTTTTCATTTGGAAAGTGTTTAACCAGCTACAAGACGGTTTTTATTAGATGAAATTTTAAATAAATATAAAATGATATGCTAAGGCCAATCCGATGTCACACTGAAAAGCTAAACGTATGATGTTCAACCAAACTGCCTTTACTTTACAGGCATTTTCGACTCCTTTTAGTTGATCTTACGTGTTTCGTGTTATAGGGTTCATAGTGTAATTTGGGCATTCTACGTTATTATGCGATAGCTGGAACGTAATCATATCGTACATGATACCAGAATGATGTCAGACAGCACTCGCATAACAATAGAATTTAAGAATCTTTGCCACGTTAGCATATACATATTGAATTTGAAAAACTTCATCTGTCATGTTCCTTAAATAAATCACTTTTGCTCTATAATGATTATGTTGTATGAATATGTTCGGAGAGGCTATCCTTGAATCTAGATCCGATTTCGCAATTTCTAAATCGATAAAAAAAGATTCCATTCTTTCGATTGAGGCACGGCTTATTATTGCTTCGACAAATTCAATCTACAAACAAGATTGTTGAGATCCCGTTAGGATGAAAATGCGGCTCATTTGATTCACAGGGACCAAATGTCCCTTCTCTTCCTTTCTCTTTTTAAAGTTCATCACTGTATTCATCATCATTCACTATCGCATTCTCAGGGGCACGGTGCGGTCACCAAGCTGCCATAATAACGTATGCTAATAATCTTGAGAAAACCCGGAGCCTCCGAACAGTGAAGACCCGTTTTGTACTTGTTCAATATTATATCAAATATTCAAAACATATCGTGATTGCTCTTCATCGATAATCTAGACGTGACGAAAATATTATTTATGGGGCTTAGAAAAGGGTGAAAAAAAAAAAAAAACAAGAGAGGAAGACGAAAGCGTCAAGCTTAAGCGTGTCAAACATAAATAATTGTTGTTGTTCCCGTTTTTCACCACACGCGTTATGCTAAGTTTTGTTCAAACGTTTGCAACGTCAAGCGTTCCATAAAGTAGAAAATTTGTTTTACATCCAAATATATGCTTATTAACGTATTCGAACATTATTATTCTGTGATCCGTTTCTTTCATTTAAAAAACAAAAAAAAAAACGATTTTGTTAGACTTCTACAGTGGTGTAAACCTCAGAATTAATTCGTTAGAGAGAGATTTTTTCGGGTTATAATTATAATTATTATTATTATATTATATAATTTTCTGGGTTATAATTGTACTATTTTAAATATTATGGTTGCGTCCAATAGGATCCTAACGCAATAATAATTAACTTATGAAGCCCTATTCGCAAACTTTTACACGAGAGACACGAGTTTATTTTTCACTCGATTAATATTTTTGAGTTTCTTTTCTTTCATATTTTTTTTGCAATTATTCAATTCCTACAACTGCTTTGTACATTAAATTAATTTTATAACGGAGAAAGAGACATTAAGCATATAAGCACGGTTTTCCATCCTTGAGTATCGTGGTAGGCGCCACAAATAAATGGTTAAATTCCCTGTTGAAAGCACAGAGTCGCTTTTAATAAATAAATGGTTAAATGCCCAACTTAACAAAAATGTTAACGCCAAGCAGCTAACGTTAAATCCCCAACTTTACCGACAAAACGGAATCGATTCCGTTAAATAACAGACCAAATGCCCAACTTTACCGACAAAAGGGAATCGATTCTGTTAAATAACAGACCAACTGGATTCGATTATCGATTTAAATGATAAATTTTTATCAAAAACTAATGCATGATTGACAATTATCTCATGAGATATTATGCTCCACTATCGTTCGGAATGCCGCTTCAAGTCCAAATCTATTACTATGGCAACGCGATTTCACACAGTGCAAAAACAGCTGTTTGTCAGGGTCGCATTAATGAAATGATAGATATTTTTTGCTTTCAGTCCTGGCAAAGCACTTGGTAAAAATTATTAGTCACAGATATCTATAAAGTCAACGTTTCTAAATTACATCTTTAAAGTAAAAAGTATTTGCTTATTCTTTTGGCCAATTAATCAGCAACATGCAGGTATTTGTTTAACAAAGTTAATTTATTCATAAGCTATGTATATATGTATATATATATATATATATATATAGATTAATTCATATATTGTGATTACCATTTATGGTAATCGCACATAACAATTTCGCTAACTATATATATTCTTCTCTCCAGGATCCTCTTGAAGACACTGAGTGGAATGATATATTACGTTCTAAAGGTATTTTACCTCCCAAACCAAAGGAAGCTGAAATTACCGAAGATCAAGTTCAGTTAATGCTAGACGATGCTATACAACGGAGAATTGATTTGCCTGAATCTAACCGCAAAAAAGTCGAGGATATGAATTTGAATGAGTTGGACGAACTAGAAGATTCTGAGGATGACGAAATTTTAGAATACTATCGAAAGCAACGTATAGCTGAATTAAAGGCTTTCGCCGAAAAAGCGAAATTTGGAGCAGTTGGAGAAATTTCCGGTCAGGATTATGTGAACGAAGTGACTAACGCTGGAGAAGGCATTTGGGTGGTGCTGCATCTCTACGCCAATGGCGTTCCATTATGCGCATTAATACACCATCATATGCAGCAATTAGCTGCACGATTCCCTCAAACAAAATTTCTGCGTTCAATTGCTACAACTTGTATACCGAATTTCCCCGAAAAGAATTTGCCCTCAATTTTCGTTTATCATGAAGGACAGTTAAAGAAACAGTTAATCGGTCCAATAGAATTGAGAGGTGAAAAATTAACATTGGAAGAATTCGAGTATATGTTAGGCCAGGCTGGTGCTATAAACACAGAAATTCAAGAGGATCCTCGCCCGACAATAAGAGATAAAATGTTTGCTGATTTACAAAATCAAAGTGTCGATTTCTATTAGGTAAAAAAAGTCTTTGTTTTTTCATTTCAATTTAATTTGATTCTTATTTTATAATAAATTTTTCAAATTAAAAAGCCCCTAATAATATACGCCCAGGTCTTCAATTTCGTTTCCCTTCTCATCATTTGATTATAATAGGATGGGCTAAAGGCGCGTATATATTTCATGCATCTTGTTTGGGTTTGTGTGTGTGTGTGTGTGTGTGTATGACCCACAAAAGTAAATTTACGCCTGAATGCTGAAGCAAAGTTATAGGGATAATTATTAAGTTGCCAATGCTCTTCAGGAGCACACATGATATCTTGGGTAATATCTTGTGTAATATTTCATCGTGTGGCAAATTTCTTCTATAGTATAATATATTTTGATAAATAAATTTTGAAAAGTTACCCATAGTTACATCATTGTTTACAAATAAGAAACAAATCGGATATCATTTTGTGTATATGTGCTATTGAGTTGATTACTCATAAATATATTTAAGAGATTTTTCAAATTTTATTTTATTGACATAAAAAGAATGAAAAAACTTTCGCCAGATGAGGCTTTCTATGAAAATTTAACATTGGGCTTGGGCAGCGTCTTAAGTAACCTCATCGTTATACAGTGGATTTATTTTGCATTTGAAAACTGAATTTCGCCTTCTCTAATAGAGTCCGTGCCGCGAGTATCTAATATTATATGTGAAAAACGGGAACCGTGTCAGAAAACGCAAGTAATGACTTGGGAGCAAAGGCATGGTGTCTATTTGCCCGAGGATATGAAAAAATTTTATCTGTCCACCGACGGTTTATTGCTACATTGGAGTTACCAATACGGAGGTAGGTGCGAGAGAAAATCTTTGCGAAAGTTTCATGTCGATGAAAGAACTTATTTTTAGTAAATGATATACGACGTGTGGGATATATAAATATTCCTCACTTAGTACAGATCACATTATTACGCGAGAATGTTGAATCAAATGTGCAACATACGGCAAATGCTGCAAATGCAGCTGGCGCCCCAATCGCAACATGTATTTCAGATTCTTCTAAGCGTTCATCATCCGATACTTCGTTTAGTACTAATAGCTCAGCTACAATAGTTTCTGGCTCGACATCGATGTCTTGTACGACGGTGTCTGCAAGCCCTTCTAAAGATCAATGGGGGCATCCTCTGCCTATTATCGGGCCAAAAACAAAGATATTTGAATTTAATATGGTCAATGACGTAGCTAAAGTGTGTCTGATTTACGATACCACCGGCTCTAACACCCTCAAAATTTATATGTTGGAATTAAATGGACAAAAATGGGTATTTCTCGCCGATAGCTTCAGCGAATATTTGCGTATGGCCATTGCTCATTTAGGTTTACCATACTGGGAATTATGCTTTTCCTCATGTGGTCTGCCATCATGGACGGAGGTATGTGTGATTTATTGAAGCTACTTTCCAACGTTACAATCGATTTTAATCTTCTAGCAATTATTTTTATTGTTAGCGGCTTTAAATTTAAAACGGAATATATTCGCATCTAAGCTATTGTAAGGACGTTCTGGAGCGGGGTCAACTATCCTGGCACGACGTTCTTCACGCTCTTCGAGCAGGTGAGGAGCCAACAATAAAAATGTAAATGTGAAACGTTGAAGACAAGCGCCAACAAAAATAAAATCGAACAGTCCTGGTAGAATATTTGCATCAGATATTTCCCAATTTACTACCACTAGCAGCGCAATTTGAAACATAAATTTAATGATTGTTGTGCGATATGTCAAGGTCATGTAATAATAATGTTCATCAGATCGCCCCTTTAACAGCTTGATGGTCAGTGATCGGTGGTCGGTGTGTGGAATCGTTTAGTCCGTTTTGTATTCGGTTCGTTTACAAAACTCATGATTGCGATCTTAAAAAACTGCCTTCAAATATGTTCTTATAACTCTTCAAGGGGTCAGTTCGAAGATTATCTAAATCAGCAACGTCCAAGGATCCATCGATACTTATCATGTAGCAATAAGACGCAGTATGTACGGGTCGTTTATAAAGACAAAAAGACAACCACGTGTCAAAATGTAGAAGATAATCATGTAGGTGAAAATTAACTTTCGAAAACGAAAGCGATAATTAAATGAATCGAAAAATGTCTGAGGTGCACGATGTGATGTGATGTACATCAGGCAAATGAATCTTTGTCCTATTTTGCAAGCAAATATCGTTGACAAGAGTCAGTAGTGGTTATTAAAAAATTTTTGGTTATTTCTAGACCAAACTTTGTATAATATTTAGCGAAATTTTACAGTTCAAATACAGGGATAACACTAAATAAGATAAAGAAGTTCGATGCACAACCATTTCTTTTTTTCATAGATTTTGCTTCTTCTTGAATTACATCTATATTCGTAGTGCTATATAAATTTAGGTGGACGCATTTCTCGTTGCTAATTAATGTATTAAAGTTTTGGCATTCATCATATCTTGAGTTTCAGCCTCCTCTTCCTGTCAGGATACTTCCCATACCGTTGATGTTTCCGTTGATCGTTTAGGTCGGCCGGCAACTTCGACATGAGCATCCAGGGTGTCACTTAATCGCGAGAAACGTCGCGCCCAACTTCGCCGGGGCATTACTGATCCTAGCTCTGGTATTGGGGTATTGGGATTATTTCGATTGCTCGTCTCACGGAATAAACTCATTAAATCTTGCTTATCACCCTGAGCCCTTTTAATGCCGTGCTGGTATTTCGCTTCTTTCGCCAGCAATTGCTCGCGCTGCATCTGCGTTTGGACTTCGGCGGGTATGTCGGGTATAACGAATTGCATAACGCCAGTTAAAACAAAGACCACATGCTTTAAATTAAACACAATAAGTTTTATGTAAATGAATAAATTAAAGTGTTAATAAAAAGTAATAAAAGCGAGCGAATAAATATACAAAACAAAAAAAAAAAAAAAAAAAAAATAAATAGATAAGAATTTCGAGAGAAGCGAATGCGGAATTCCTGATTTTCTAGGTATCCCGATACATAAAATGTTAAATCGGCCTTTACCTTAACAAAAAATTCTGATATCTCAGTTAGGCCAATTTGAGACACATAGAAAAAAAAAAGAAGAAAAATAAATAAATAAATAGAGGAGAAAGAGAAAGAGAAAGAGAGAGAGAGAGAGAGAGACAGAGTCTAAATTTCAAGTTTCATAGAATTTACCTCAAATACGACAACAAAAGCCAAGCGTGCAGCAAATACATGCCAATAGTGAGGGCTTAAGCCATAGGGCTCATAATCTTGAGGACCATTTCTAAGGAAAGTGAATTAATTTGTTTGTTTACTTTGATTAAAATAGCAATTCTCATAATCTACCTGTAGCCCCTGTAGGCGCACGTATCCGGATCCTTTTCAGTCTTTGCGCCCCACTCTTCTTTATAATCGGATGTATTAAATAATGAAAGCGAATGCTCTATGTAACCAATTAAGGTATAAGTTTCCGAATAAACAAATTTATAGACCATTCGCGGTATAAAGTCACTCGTATAGGCGATGACAAATGCATTCGACACCACGGCTGTATATGTAATTATTCTTAAAATACCGTACCAAGCTCCAATATCTTCTACCCGTTCAGCCAGCGGCCTTCGGGCTTGGGTAACCATTTTGTAAGCGTCCAAACGTATTTCGGCAACATTGTTTAGTAGCGCGAATAGCGGAGCTAATGGGAAAGCAGCCACAAACAATGTAACAAAACCGTATTGTAAAACTGAGAAGAAAGAAAATTATATTCCTGCGACTAATTTTATATAATTCTATACGCGCAATGCATTATATTATACGCACTCATTTCAAGGTATTCGTCGAACAGGGCCAAACGTCCCGGATCTTGCATATGGTAATCTTGTTCCCAGGCCATGTGCAAATGACTTTCATCTTTAGTGTCTTTTTTATGTTTGCGTTGTCGCCACCAATTATAGAATTTCGGGAACAAATACTCCATAAAATTGTTCCAACATTGTTTACCCACCATTATGATGGCCAATTGTATGCACAATTCGGACAAACATCCCGCTGGATCGCATATATCATTCTTTAGGCGAAAAAATTCACTACGTCTCGCCTGATCGTCGCCTGGATAATCGAAAAATCTGCCTTTAAAAAATGCTATGTAAATTAAGGAAGAGTAAAAATTCATAAACTCGAAGAAGAAAATTTTAAAAGTGTATGAGTCTTCATATTCGGTTTGGGTTCGAGGATTCTCGAGATTTGTTAATCTTATTGCCAGCCGGTGGTAAATCTGTAAGAAAATTTCAGATTTCAGACTTAGATTTAGATATCATTGACATGAATATGATTGCGTTACTTTAGTTAATATCATGATGACCACCAAGTTGATGAGAGCCGCAGTTATTGTTGTAAATAATTTGGCATGTTCTTTAACGAAAAATCCGCCTCCACCATAGATGACAGTGACCACTGAAATGCGATAAATGATTGTTCCCAGAACAGCCGACAGAACGATTGTTATCTGAAATTGTATTAAAATAAGAAAAATTGACAAGGTGCACGACCGCCTTTACGATATGATGCAGGCATCAATTCTAGCGGGGAAATGTGGCGCCGAGTTGAACGAATTAAAGCTCAATTAGAAAGTCGGATTCGCATCTTTTACGGATGGAAGCTTCATTTATTTGCAATTCGCATGCTTAACGCTGTATAGAGAGGTGCGCATCTTTGTTGCTTAACGGATTGCGGAAAACTGTTTGTCAATTTAATTCGTGTGTCAAATCGCAAATTTACAATAATTGACTTAAGATTGTTAAGATTGTCACGATTAATTAATAATAATCCGCCCATTAATAATTATAATAATTAATTAATCAATTATGCATATCTAGGTCTGCGTCTTACCATAAATAAAACCGCACTACCAGTTATCGCAAAACGTATCCATCTATTCCAAGTGGACATATAAGGTTCACGTTCCCTTGTTACGGGATTAATGCGAAAATTGGTTGCATTCGTCTCGAATTCGGGACGATTCTCTTCGTCGGATTCAACGTTACGCAAATCCCATTCCCAGACAATGACTGATTGCTTACGTTTCCATAATTCTAAAAATGTCGTGGCTAAAACGAACAAGATTAATAATTTGCATGCTTGTGGAAAAAAAAAAAAAAACATTTTCATTGCTTACCCCAAAATGACATAAATATAGCGAAGAATACTGTTGAGGGATTGTCGAAAAGATATGTGATACGTGAGAATAAACATGATTCGTATAAGTGCTGGTAACTGCAGGCCTTATCACATAACGGGCATAATGTTATATTACCCGTACCGCTCTCATTGCATATCTCTTTGCTTGGGGTGTTGTCCTCCGAATTGAGGGTTGCTAAGCCATAAAGGAAACAAAGTGTGCCTACTATTGCTGGATAGACTAACATTTCCGTATAGAAACCTAACCAGCAAAAGTATAAAGCAATTTTATCGCCAAAGTATTTGCGCACCAAGCAGAGCGGCTGTTTTTTATACCATTGCGAGGGATGAGCCCAAGTTAAATAAAGTATGCGACGATCTAATGTTATACCGCTCGAATGGGGCCGATCATAGCGACCCTCATGTAAAGGGAAGCAACCTAAATATGTGTTATCGTTCAATAAACGTCTGATGCCACAGCGATCGCTATCGTCGAACGGTGTCCGCACTAAGACTTGCATAACCATAAAAGAGCGCTGAGCACTGGTATAAGCGGTAGCACGATCCTTCACAATAAATCTATAGTGATATGAAATTATGGCATAAGGCATTTTAGATTATTTGCCAGTCTCGTAGAACTTACTGCTCCTCTGGATTACCATTTCTAGTGGCGGATTTAAAAGAAATTTCACCTTCTACCACTTGATGATCTAATTGTATTCTTTTGGTAATTTTCTGCCAGATATCCTTCCAATGTTGTACATTACGTGTCACTATATTATCCTCGTCCTTGAGTGCGAGAATAATCGTTCGGGTATATATGTTAAATTGAGAATTTTTGTTTTTTCTACTTACCCAGGACGGTTTAACAGATATTGTGATGAAACGTTTGGTGGGCAATTTAATATTCATAACTTCCCCCAAACGGGTTTCCAGACGCCAAGGTAAATGGATTTTCATAAAAAAGGTTTTTTCGTTAAAGGATTGCATTTTATCCTCTAATTCGACTTCGAGGCCTTCTTTAATCAAATTTTCCATAAAAGTGCGACGGCAATCACGTTTTCTAGACTCACTTTCGGTCATAACGCCTAAATTCTCTTCTTCCCAAGCTACAACCATATCGATTTTACGACGACCGTCTCGAAACATCAGAGACTCATCGTCTAAGCCTTCGCTGTCTTGGTTTTTTAGTTTTCTAGTAACACCGTTATCCAGATTCATAGTGACTTTATGATTGCTGTGGTAACTGCCATCAAGGCTGCTTTCCATCGATGGATGCGTGAGATTTCCCTCGTACGGCATCAATTGCTTGTAGGCAAATTGATTTGGCAACATATTGGATGTGTCTGAAGAGGGCGAATTTAAATTATTATTTATTGTATTATTATCTTCGCTTTGTGCATCCATTTCGTTGTTGGGGTCGGGAGTTGGCGGTGTTGATAATTGCAGGCCCAACGAATGATGCATAGCTGTACCGGGTATATCTTCATTGTTTTCCACTTTAGGCCCGAATGGTTGAATCGACGTTAGTCTTTTAGTGCAGCTTTCTAAATTTGTCGATAATTGAGTGCCATGACGATCATTATCCGCATTTAATTTTTGATATGTTGGCCTCGAATTTTCATTATAGTTCCCTAATTTTTGACTAATAATCGAATTATTTTCGGCCGATGTGTAATAGTTAAGAGATGGCAGCCTTGTCATTTCCTCTCCCATTGATGTCATCGAAAACGCCTCAAAAAAGTTCTTGTTCCTCGGAAGTGGTTGCTCGTTTACTACGAATGAGAAAGTATTTTCCGAATAAGTTTTCGAGCTGAGGCGTTGAGCAGGTGGAGCAGATTCAACGAACGGTGGCTGCTAATAAATTGGAAGAAAAACATGTCCTTCAGAACTCTCCTAAGAAGTTGCGTGAACATAAAAATTCCTTAAATTTTTTAAACGCTACCTCGTTTTATTTGACAGATTTATCAATAGCAATTATTATGATTATGCAATACAGTTTTAAATGTTTCACTTAAATAGGAAATAAATTGTTTTTGCGTTCAGTTGAGTTCTTTTGTCCTTATTTCGTATATTCTCAAGCTTTTTGACGACCCAATTGCACCCGTCTTATGCGAAATGAAACTAAGAAAAATAAAAATATTCAGGCGTGAGAACACTTCTTTTCAATAATTTCATAGACTCAGTTCATTCAATGGAGGCGTAACATATAGGTAAATATTGTGAACGATTGGGAGGTAAAAGAGTTCTATCTATTTGATGGCTGTAATATTATAAAAAGAAATTAAGCCGACGAAAAGGATTTAAAAAAGTAAACAAATTTTGAGGACAGAGTTGTATTTCGATCAAATCTAAATAAGACGTTGTAAATGGATGATTATTATCATTCGTGGATTGAAAGGATTTGTAATTTGCGTGAAACAACAAGAAGAAGTTATTTTACATTGCCCGTAGAGCGAGAGAAAAAATCGTCTTCAAGAGCGGTACAATTAGCCCAACTGTGCTCTGTAGAAAGATTTATTAGAATATATGCTTCATTTTCTCTGAACTATCCTTACAACTACATGGTGTAGTTGTTGTTGGAGGCTAGGTCCGGTCCGTCAATTCTTCATTACAGTCATTGGCTTTTAGAACATTTTCCACTGCAAGTGAGTGCGGTACGCATTTGGAAAATAGCTGTCCCTTTGACATTGTCAACAACTTCTTGTAATTGTACTTTTCGTTTATCGAGGATAATTTTCAGGAATTTTTTTAATGTTTTCCGTTGCAATCACCTTCTTTGGGCATCCACTGGCCTCATGCCACATGATCGGTGAGTTTGATGAATTTCTTTTGCCATCAATAAGGAACGTTTTCAGACAAAATATGAAATTCGGATTTTTCCAATGGTAGCGCCGCTGTGGGCACTGAATTTTGTAAGTAAAAGATCGAAACGACTTGAAATTTTGCTAGGTTTCGTAATCAAATCTTCCACGGCTAGGGTCATATATATATATACACTAGGGAACTAACTGAGACAACTATGCGTTGAATATTTGTCAAATTCAAAATTGATAATTCCGATATGCCATAAGTGATGATATACTATTGTCAATAAAAAATAAGTTGAAATTCTTTTTGAGAAATAAAAAATATTTATTTTTTCAAAATTTTGCTTTCAATTTTAACGCTTCCTAAAGTAATCCGCGTCTGATTTATGTCAATTTTTTTTTCTAATTTTCAAGACAGTTACAGAACTCGTTTTCCTTGACGGCTTTCAATACATTTTTAAATGTGGCTCTTGTCTCCTAAATTGAGTTGAAACCGTGTGCTCGGAGTGGCGTCCGTGATGATGCGCTTCATCACGTTCGTGGTAGTCGGCAACCATTGCTTCACAATTGTGTAAGGAATATTTTCCTTACAAAAAATGAAGTGTCTTTGGAACCCGGCGAAAATCGACATGTTTGCGGCATAAAACGTCTTTCAAAACGTTTTGGGTTAGTTCTAATGAAATGCTCATAGCCTCAGCAAGGTTTACGATTTTCGACTACGAACTTCTTTGATTTCCTTGACATCGAGATGTTGATGACCGTGCGGGCCGCTGTTTGTTCTAACATCGTTCTCGGTACTGCTTAAAGTCTTTACACCATTTGTAAATGTTTTTTGCAACAGACTTATCACTAAAAATGTCCTACGACATACGTAAACTTTTTGCGGCAGACTGTTCATTCCGCAGTTTCATTTCGGTCGACAATATCGGATATAGTAAATATACAGTGAACGTCGAACAAATCATTTTTGTTTGTTTATTTAAACATGTGTAATTCTGCAGCAATATACTGGCATGCACACATTGATGTCAATGACGTCAAAGATAGTACGATCAACCCACAAAAGAAAGGAAATAATAAATCCATGATTGCATAGTTGAAATGAAAAGTTCTCTTTAAAGTCTTTTTTGATCGTTGAAGTAACTTTTAGAGAAAAAAAAATCAATTGATTTTTTATACGCTCTGTCTATGTTGTTAATCCAAAGAGCCTGACCTAGAAAATGCTACTTAAGAAGGTTTGTTTTTTTCAAGTTTCAATCTAAAATAAACGAAAAATTTGGATAGCTTTTGAAAGCTGAGTTCAGCATCAACTAAAGTGTCTTCTGTGCATTAAGTTACTTACGTTTCTTGCATATTCAAAGCGAAATATTAAGCAAATGAAGCAGTAATCTATGAACGTCATTGGTCATTTGTTTGATAGCAAAAACTCTGCATTGCGCACCATTGAAAGACCTTACATCACAGTGCAATTGTCTATATGTCGGCTTTTCAGAATAAGGCGTTATATTAAAAGTGGTCGTAAACGTGGTCCGACCTAAATAGTTTTCAATAGTGTCCGTCCTTTACCCAAAACATAACAGTGTACCCAACTTCTTCAAAGTATTTATAAGTAATTGCGGCCTGTAGATTGAACACAAGAAAATAAGACAGACAGAGCGTTTACAAAACGATTATAGTTGCGCACGATCCACCATTGACCACTCTACACCATCCTGCAGATATCCATGTATCGGCTTTTCAAAATAAGGCGTTATATGCACAGTGGTCGAAAAAGTAATCCGATCGGAATTATTTTGAATAGCTTTCGTTCTTCGCCTGAAACTTGTCAGCGTATCAACTTTCACCACAATATGCCGTGCATGAATTGCGCCCTGTAACCGTGACACTAGAAAATAATATAGACAGACGGATGGACAATCTCTAAGATTCTAAATTTGATTCTGAATCGATTGGTATCATGAAAGGTGGCGCCACCTTAAGCCCTTGCAGATATTCCGCACAACCTTAATATAGTCGCTCTATAAGAGAGAAATCGATTTATATCACTTTCAAACACAACGGCTCACATATTAAAAATTTCAGTAAATAGGCGGGTCTTTGGAATTTAATCAAGAGTATACGTGTCACTGATTCAATCTTCAATTGAATTCCGCATTGTCGCGCAATAATATATTTTTACAAGATATATGATCGACAAAGCGAACTGACTTAATATTTGCAAACGTATGATAAACGAACCAACTTTGAAAGAAATCTTGAGGACGCTTCTTAAATTTTTACTAACACTAAGGCGGCTCTATTACACGAAAGCTACTTTAAAAGCAAACAATAGTGGAAAGCAAGCAGAAAAAGAACAAAATTTAATTAAAATTAAAAATTAATTGATTTTCTTATGCGAAATTTCCGTTTCTTCTTTATGATATTTTCGATAACAAACAACTCCATAACAAAGATGGGAGTATAATTATTTATTAATACTTACCCCTCCAACAAATAAACGGCCCGCTACAATACCGCTATCTTGACTTAATCGTCTTATGGGCAATTCATCGCTCGGACAACTATGTTCTTTCAAACGTTCACTTTTAGCTGGACTAGAAGCTATTGGTCGTCTTAGGTGTTTCGTACGTACATTACGCAAAGACGGGACCGATAGAAATCCTACATACATATATATATATATATATATATATATATATGTATATATATGTATAGGTTTAGGTAAAACATATGAAAAAATTGAAATTAAGTTTTAAGTAAGGGAGACATTAAAAGATAGTACGAGCTCGCTTACTAGAGAACGGTAGACCGTCAGCATGTGATTTTCGTTCTTTCGCTTTCTCCTCGCTGTCATTGGTATCTCTTGAAATTAAGTCTTCATGCGAACTGGCTTCAGTTATTGGCGCTGTGCTAGTTTCATCCTCACTACTGATACGCGTTTTAAGTTGTTTATGTTGCGTGTTCGAATTCATTTCATTACTTTCTATTTTACTTTATATTTAATTGAGGATAGGTTCTCCTTATAGATAATAAACATTAGTTTGTCTATGTAGGTGTATGCGTCCGTAAAATGTTACGAAGGCATCCATTTAGGTGGTAATGTAATAAAATATCATTTCTTGACTTTACTGAAGAATTGAAAATTGTGAACTTTACGTTGTAAAGCATGTGGTCTTCTTTTCACGATTCATCGTTCACCGTTTAACAAACGTCACAACAGGTGTTTAAAGTTACGCCGTAAAAAATCAATACAAAAATTATTATAATTAGTGTCTAAAATTATATTTATTCTCAATCTATTGATTGTTGTTATTATAACAACTTTTACAGTTAAACTTGTGCGTTTACTTGTCAAGCAAAAATATTCACTATTAGATATAATACGGAACCAAGTCCATCAAGATATGATGCCTTATGATGAGTCGTATGATGAGTTAGGCATACGTGAACAATTGCGTTATGTTGTGCTTTCTGCTCAATTAGAAATTTTGGCGTAAGCGTGTAAACGAATTGAGTCGTTTTATTCTCTCCTTTCGGATATTGAAAGAACTTAGCTGCAAGTTTTGAATCTATTTGCTCTAGACTGAAAGTTGACACCTTCGAACTTCAACTTGTGTCAGTCTCTGACGAACCTCATAAGTGGGTTTTAGGTTAATAATAAGACAATTGTCCTCAAGACTTAGACTTAGTAGATATGTCAGAAACACTAGACTAGGTGGGCATAAAGAGGGGATTTAGCTTAACCATGGCAATCGATTGCCGAATTTATCTAATAGAATTTCCAATCCCGAATTTATGGCACATACATCAATATTTCCCTAAACTCTCTCGTAGGTTTTGTCTCCAAGAGCAATTCACATTTTTAAAAAATGCTAACGCTGGACTAACCCTCCTCACAAGTTCATGTCACTGATAAATCGTCGCTTTTCTTTGTTGTTTTCAACGCAATAGAACAATCCGGATTGCTTGTGTGAGCGTCCGTGGTTTACTGATTTTAAATAAGATGCAGAAGACACGTTCACCATCGAAAAAAAAAAAAAAGAAAAAAAACGATTTACAAATTGTTCTCGATGGCCAAAAAGTCAAGTTGGCATTCTAAGGATATCGAAATTTTGGGTATTCACGATTTTACTTGACAAACTGTTCGGATTGGTGCCTCGTCTGCTGGTCCCCAGCGTCTCTTTTACTCTTCATTACGCTCGCGGAGACTGAAGTGTATTTCGAAGGTCTTGACAAATCGATGCAATCGTTCCAAGCCATCGCGATTTAAAAAAAAAGTGTTTGACTGATTCCGTCCCCCTTGAATTTGAATATTTTAATGAAAGCCTGAAATATATTTTATTCTTATTTAGACCCGGGAGTTAAAAACAACAATACATTACAATATATGCATATATATATATATGCGCAGTTCACTGATCAGACTACAACAGATTTTCAAGCGGAACGTTGATCCAGCGTTACGAACATTTCATTACGGATTTGTAAGAGTTTTTCAAAAAGACTTAAAAAATTGACTTGTGACCATCGCGGTTTGCACTTTGTGCGATAAATGTCCGCCAATTCACTTTCTTATCTGTATTGCACTTCTTCACGAATAGGAGTACATAAACACACAGCTCAATAGCGAGTTAAAGTTTCCAAGTCATTTTCTTTGCTAGCAATAATAATTTCTGCGTCGACATATCTATGCCCAATATTCTGTCGACATATGAACACGCCCGCCAGTGAGCCAGAAACTATAATTTATAATCCACCGCATAAATTGATCTTAGATTACTAACCCATTGCAAAGTTGTAGAGGTCATGGTTATCTAAGAATCGCCGGAAGACCAGTATAAAGACGTAATATAAAGGCGGTCTGAGAACACATTAAGATCATATTCTATCGATGTAGATGTAAGTTGTTTTGACCTAACGAATGAACGAACGAACGAGCCCTATTGAATATAAATAAAAATATTACAGTCGGACAACGCTGACTGTTACATACCCTACATCACCTCGCCTACTACAGTTATTCGTTTGTTTTGGTTAAAGTACATATTATTTTCATGCAAAGCGGTAATTGCCCTGAAAGCTCGTATATTGGAAGGTTAGTTTTCCTCTCCATATAAGAATTGGTGTTTCGTGATAGCGCCTATATGCGTTGAGGTCAAAATAAAATAGACCTATGTGATCCAAATTTACTGCCGTTAATTCTTTTGCTAAAGCGCTATTACGAATTAATTTTGATCATAATATATTAAAAATTAACCCATTTTGCAAAGGACTGACTACTCATGGGATATCTTATATGGAGTGTGTCCCAAAAAATATACCTATTTTGCTCTAATTAGATCCACTTCATTTTTATACCCTACACCACGGACTATATTAAGTTAGTGCGGACGTATGGAACATGCTCATGCTTAAGACAGGCCCAACTTCCAAACAGACCCAAGGCCAAACGTGTCTGTCCGTCTAACGTCTGCCCATGTTAATTCGCGTGTTGACGCGCATGCTCCCCTGTAAGGGTTTCCATTCAAAGGAATGTCTTTGCAAGAAAACAAGACACAGTTTACGGATTTATATTAGCTCTGATCTGTTGTAGCGTATTCAATAGCCGCCCTTGTCCGACCATAATGTTTTTGCTGGTTTTATACATGTGTGTCGTCGCCTTTCGATTTCGCATTTGTATTAAACCGCTTGATAATTCCATGTATGCATACTTTTACAAGCAGCTGAACATAATTCGCGTGTATGACAACATTTTCCTTTTAGCTCGTAAAACACACGTCGACTATTTATAAACATTTTCTGGTTGCTATAGTTCCTACCATCTCTAGCTCGTATTATTTTTGTATTTTGATTAAATTGCATTAAATACTATATATATATATATATATATATATATATATATATATATGAAGCATATGCTTACAAACGTTTTATATTTAATATTGGCAACATTAGCCGAACAAAAATCGATATGCATTTTAAATGTTATTACGCTAATTGCGGTTATAATTAAAGACAAACATTGAATATTCCCATAATAGTCCTCATATATCTATGAAGCGTTAAGGACTTGTGGTTTCACGTAAAGATTTTATGTGTATGTAGATCACACCATTAGCTAAATATAGATATGAAATAATTAATGAACAAAGACAGATTTGAGTTTAAACATTCGCGACTAGTTAATGTAACTAATCTACAGTTAAAGCTTCTTCCGCATGCGTAGCACACCTAACGCCCAGTACGTTTAATGTATATTCTATTGGCAATGTTTAAAGTATATATCGAATGTGATAGCCGTCATAAGTATGCCAAGGTGCAAGAGATAAATTTCTTATGCAAAAATTCGAAACGTTCTACACCGCTTGACAATATTTCTGTAAGGCACATACGTAGCTTTCCAAGAGTATTTCTACTTGACAGCTCCTTGCTGAAGAACTGATCACAATTGCGATCATTTAGTGGCAGAAAGATTTTAACGTTTCGTATATGCTGTTCTAGCCAAATATGCAGTTGCATGAAGAATCCTCTACTCTATCTAGTGAAGATCTCTGCATCGACTAACTGCCATAACTCTTGCCAGAAGTGCAAACAAAGAGTTTAAGAAGCGTATATGTTTGCATATTTGTGTGTATGAACTGTGCCTCATTCCAACCACAAAGTTCATATCGAAATCTATTGCAATTGTTGAGTTATCGATGCAAATCATATTGGAATTATCATTATCTGTTTTCTTTTGTTTTTTAAGTACATGCGTTGAGGGCACCTTTTTTTTTTTTTTGTTAAAGTAATATATGAGGAGAGTTGTTGACCTCTTTACTGCATATATTGTAATTAATTGATAATTGAGCTTTTACGAGTCTTCCCTTCTCTGTGGCGTTTCTATTTTCAATTGTAAGTTTTTTGTTTTTCTTTCCGAGTTCTATTTGTGTTTATCAAAGTCCATTCAAAAATCACTGTAAGTTAAGTAAAACGTGAACTATTTTTTGCTCTTTTTTTTTTTTTTTTTTTTTTTTTTTGAAATATTGATGAGGTTTGTTCTTCTATTTTCATTGCATTTTGAATCCTTTCGTCTTTACAATTCAAATTCAAATTTTTGATTAATTATTTGGCATTTAGGGTGTTATAGGAGGCTATAGGTTAACTTTAAACTTTATTTAGTTTAGTTTTGCGTGTAGTTCTAAATTGATTATATATTTCAAGTTTCATAACATATTTTTTGTTGCAACAAACAATCGAATATTTATTATTGAATATATTTCCTTTTCCGTATTTATACATACATATATATTTTTATAATTATATTCTCTAATTTTCACTTCCGTTCATTGCAAGTGTTACAATTCACTTTTGTTTAATGAATGTTGGCATTTGCTTTTTAACAATAACTTAGTCGTTTGTATTCTCTAAAATATGCTTTTTAACAACGACGTGAAAGTTGAAAGCATGTACTTCCTGTCTAACCGAATTTGAGTGTCTTTGTTACGTGTATGAATATATGTATATTTATATACACGATTTTTATGAATAAACGATATCGAGGTAATAGGTTTGATAGGGGAAATATAAAACGAATGATTGACACTATGATTGCATATACTAGAAAACCACGTGTCCTTTTTACCACCATTTATATCTTGCCTATAATAATCACGGTCACAAACACATTTAAGCCATGCAAAAAAAAAAAAAAAAAATATAAATAAATAAATAAAACTAAAAAAATGAACAAAAATTAAGGAATATAAAGTAAAATAAAAAAAAATAAAAAAATATATATATATATGTATATATATATATAATATAAACAAACTAACAACCATTTCATACACACCCCCAAGTGCACGTATCTTTAATCGCATGTATTTACACGGTTGTTAATACAAATTGTAACGCCATTAAGTAGCAATTCAATGCTAGTCTTCATCTGAAATCCTATACTCTTTGTATATTATATCTAATTATTTTCTAT